ATGAAAACAGCAACTATATCTAAACTAGAAGAAATAGCAACAGGAGAAATAGAATAAATCTGGATACAGTATATAGTGCTACACATCATATACCTATTTTTAGTACTAGGGTACTCAAGTATATTCAGATACACCTGAATATTAACTAAAAAGTTATTAGTGCCCTGATATCAGTTTAAAAGACTTTTTAAAAAATGATTGAAATTACAAAAAATTTTTATTAATCATTTTAGCTGTTTTTAGTTGAATGTTCTAATGAATTACAGTTTTCAATTTTTAAAAGATTGATATTGTAAACTGAAATTTTCAATTACAGTAATACCCCGAACTTACGTGATAGGTGAGACTGAGTGATAACCATAAGTCGGGGTATAATTTCGCAATTTGTTTAAAATCCAAGTTGGTTGTATATAAGCTAATAAATGTTCTCGTTAATCTTATCTCGTCTTTTGATTCGTTCACGGTTACAAGAAATCACCATATAGAGTCTCTCGAGTCTCCGTAGATATAACAAACACAGAAATAAATAACACAAAATAAATTGTAGCTATGTGTTGATTCTGCATGACACGTCCAAAGATGTAAGCTGAACAATAGTGTGGGGGGAGTGAGTAATCGAGAGTTGCGTGGCGCTCAAACAAAAGACGAATCGACGAGATTTGAAAATCGTGTAACTCTGGGTTCATGTAAGTCGGGGTAGCGTAAGTCGAGGTATTACTGTATTTTTTTTCTAATTAACAATTTTAACTATCTTTATAGAATTGTTGAATTCTTAAAATTTAAAATAAGACATTTTATTATACAAAAGATCTCATTTGAATGAAAATGATCATTAAAATAAATAATTCCATTTAAATTACAATTATTTGTCATTTTTATACTTTTCTTTCATTTGTAGATAAGTTTAACATCTGCTTTCAAACTGTGGGTGCAAACACAATAATTCTGCTAAATTCAGAAAAAGCTAAAATATTTCAAAAAATTTTTTATCATTGTTAGACTATTAAGTGTTGCGGAATGTTCTCTCAAATTTATAATATTGCATACTATACAGCACAAATTTAAATATATCAATTGATATTTCATTATGATATATATATATATATATTTATTTATTATAACTGATTACGGCAGTATTACACTAAAAACATTTTAAAAATATCTGTTTCTCTTAGAATGTTAACAAATAGGACATAAAACCTATTTGAAATCAAATTAAACTAGAAATATGTAATTTTTATTTGTAAAATTTTTGATATTTCATAACTTTGTTTTTTAGAGAGATATAAATAGAATACAATTATTGAATAACCATGAATATTTAAAATAGTTATGTCACAAAGAAAAACCTCTGCCATTAACCACTCATCACTATATATTCATTATTTGTTCATCATGAGTTATTGAGTATTCTTTTACGTAGTGAAAAAGTAATTTCTAATATAATTTGTGATTAATTTGATTTATTTAAAGTGTTCAAGAAAAACTAACTTATAAAATACTTTCAAATATAGGAGAATAATTAGCAGAATAGCAGAGTACAAAAAGAGAAAAATAGAAGATGAAAGAAGAAAATTATTAAATAATTATCTACTCTTAGTAATTAAAAAATTAATGTAATACAATAATTTATAAGTTCCTTATACTCTAAAAATTTATTTTCTTTCTTCTGTGTTTGGAGTTAGCTGTATACTTTTATTCAAAGTATGCAGCTAACAAGAAATAAAGAAGAAAATTGATAATTGAGAATTACAAACATGAATATAGAACATTTCTTTGTTAAATCTACATTCAATCAATATTGTCAGACTTAGGAGATTTATAACTTTGCATAAGGAAATCTGAAAATAAATATTACTGTACAAAGTTTTTTCAAAAATATTAGCTTACAGAAAAATGATATAATAGAAATTAAAACAAGTAATAAATATATTTGGACACAATGCAAAACATTCAAGACATAAATTAAGACTCTCAACATCCAATAACATTCTGCATATAATGGTAACTGATGGAGAATAATTAGACATGTATTTATAAGTACACAAATTGATGAAAAAATATTAGCTTTTTATTCACATGTATTTGTGAAATCTGCAAATTTAACACAGTTGTCGGGAAAAAAAAAATGTAAACAACTCCGATAGCAAAATAATTGTGAGAATTAGAGCGGAGGTCACCATTTGTGATAACAATTAGATGGGAAAGTTGACACATAGGTGTCAAGAATGCACTGTTATTGCCAACATTTGATGATCCTGTGACTCCTTTCCCACGACAATCGAATAAAATCTTGAGCCCCGGAAGCTCAGGGCAATCCAAAAAAAGTTATACTTGTCAATGTGTGCATCTTGTCTCCCGGACCTCCATACAACGGACTCAAACAAACGGAAGGAGAAGATATAGGTAGAAGACAGACCACAGCTTTGAACTTCCATACTTATCGCCATACTACGCCGGACTACGATTGGTATGTGTCGAAAGCCCCTCCTGCAAACTGTGGAGGTTGCGGGAGGGGCTTGAACCCGCAACCTGGCAGTTATGCTTGCCAGTACACTTGCGTAACTGGCAAGTGCACCACATGGCAAGCGGAGGTTGCAGGTTCAAGCCCCGTCCCGGGCCAATTTTTTATTCCAGAAGGTTCTAAATTTATTTAATAATTTATTTATTTTAATTATAATTATTAATTTACTTAAGAGATGGCTCCTAACGTCTACCTCTAATGTCAAATTACTTTATACTAATCATTTAATTAGCCATATTATAGCCCGATATTAAGGTGATTGTTTGGTGATTTATTGTATATTTCTCGGGCTTTGAGTTGTTATTATTTATATATGACATTACATGCACCTTCCTTGCTTTCACTGATGAAATTTGTCATTATAGACCAATAGTCAAAGTCAAGTTTGGTAAGTGGTCAAAATGTTTTTCCCCTTTCTTCCCAGTGCAAGATCACAGAATTCATATGACACTTAAATACAGAAGTAATAGTTTTAACTTGCTGAATGATCTCTCATAGCTGGCAATGGAAACTGCAATGGCTTATCATAGACACTATTTTCTATAGATGTAGAAAACATTTTATACAGTGGTGTATTTTCTGTTATATACTTCGTAGTAACATTATAAAAATCAATTAATTTTTCATCAATCTTTCTTTAATCATATAAGTAAAAATCAAATTTAATAACATTAAATAATATATCAGAGAGATCATATAGTTATAATAGTNTACACTTGCGTAACTGGCAAGTGCACCACATGGCAAGCGGAGGTTGCAGGTTCAAGCCCCGTCCCGGGCCAATTTTTTATTCCAGAAGGTTCTAAATTTATTTAATAATTTATTTATTTTATTTATAATTATTAATTTACTTAAGAGATGGCTCCTAACGTCTACCTCTAATGTCAAATTACTTTATACTAATCATTTAATTAGCCATATTATAGCCCGATATTAAGGTGATTGTTTGGTGATTTATTGTATATTTCTCGGGCTTTGAGTTGTTATTATTTATATATGACATTACATGCACCTTCCTTGCTTTCACTGATGAAATTTGTCATTATAGACCAATAGTCAAAGTCAAGTTTGGTAAGTGGTCAAAATGTTTTTCCCCTTTCTTCCCAGTGCAAGATCACAGAATTCATATGACACTTAAATACAGAAGTAATAGTTTTAACTTGCTGAATGATCTCTCATAGCTGGCAATGGAAACTGCAATGGCTTATCATAGACACTATTTTCTATAGATGTAGAAAACATTTTATACAGTGGTGTATTTTCTGTTATATACTTCGTAGTAACATTATAAAAATCAATTAATTTTTCATCAATCTTTCTTTAATCATATAAGTAAAAATCAAATTTAATAACATTAAATAATATATCAGAGAGATCATATAGTTATAATAGTGCTATAAAAATTATTTAACAAACTGTTTTTATTATAGTATAAACTAAGTTTTACTAAACAATACAAAATGAGTGTGGAAAACAATATTTGAGGAATATATTTAAAAAATAATCAAAAATATATACAAAATTTATATTAAAAAAATTCATTTTCTAACATTATTTATGCAATTTTGTGCACATCTATTAACTTTGTATTGTTAAGATATTCTGCAACTATAAAAACTTTTAAAATATAATATTTGAAATTCATGTAGAAAAGAAAACTTTGCTTACCTGTTAAAATACCAGAAATAATTGTGGCTATAATTGGTGTCTTAAATCTCTGATTTATTCTTGAAATAAATTTAAAAATCAATCCATCATTTGCCAATGCAAAAAGAACTCTAGGAAGTGGGAACATTCCTCCTAACATGCTATAAAAATATTTTTAATAAAATTTACATTTATGATAATAACTAATTCTATTATCAGATAAACATCTAAACTATAAAAGTAATGTATAAACTCCATGTGTGGAAAAAAATATTAAAAATATCCTAAAAATAGATACTTGATCTAGCTTATTGCCGAAGAATATCAACTTGAAATTTATCTGAGTATTATAAGTAGTTAAATTATCAAGATATTCCAAGTTGATGATTAAACTTAATACTGTAATTCCTTAACAATGATAGAAAAACCAATTTTATTAAAAGTAGAATTTCACAAATTCATTGAATAAAAAAGATGTTTGATCTTAAATAGTTTTTCTGTCTGGATCTTGGTGTTTTCTGGATACACACAGAAATTATTTGTAATAAATTTAATGCAATAAATGAATTACAGTAATTATAATTTTTTTCATTGAAAATAATTTTTATAATGATAATTACATGTTCTCATTATGTTTATATCATAAATTTTTTTTAGAATATTCAGTTTGTCACATTTTATTTTTGCTACTTATTATTTTGTTATATGTTTTTGCTATTTTTTTTGTCATTACAGTTGAAATACATTTTACTACTCTTTTGAATTATACAAAAAAAATTAAGTTCAAATTAAAAATCAAAATTTTGCCTAAATTGTTATTTTACTCNCTCAAAACTAAAACAGAAACTGCAACTAATGTATATGCCAAAAGTGTTCCAATAGACATCATGCTGGCTAATTCGTCAACATTAAACAACATTGCCAGTAACGCTGTTAAAATACCAGAAATAATTGTGGCTATAATTGGTGTCTTAAATCTCTGATTTATTCTTGAAATAAATTTAAAAATCAATCCATCATTTGCCAATGCAAAAAGAACTCTAGGAAGTGGGAACATTCCTCCTAACATGCTATAAAAATATTTTTAATAAAATTTACATTTATGATAATAACTAATTCTATTATCAGATAAACATCTAAACTATAAAAGTAATGTATAAACTCCATGTGTGGAAAAAAATATTAAAAATATCCTAAAAATAGATACTTGATCTAGCTTATTGCCGAAGAATATCAACTTGAAATTTATCTGAGTATTATAAGTAGTTAAATTATCAAGATATTCCAAGTTGATGATTAAACTTAATACTGTAATTCCTTAACAATGATAGAAAAACCAATTTTATTAAAAGTAGAATTTCACAAATTCATTGAATAAAAAAGATGTTTGATCTTAAATAGTTTTTCTGTCTGGATCTTGGTGTTTTCTGGATACACACAGAAATTATTTGTAATAAATTTAATGCAATAAATGAATTACAGTAATTATAATTTTTTTCATTGAAAATAATTTTTATAATGATAATTACATGTTCTCATTATGTTTATATCATAAATTTTTTTTAGAATATTCAGTTTGTCACATTTTATTTTTGCTACTTATTATTTTGTTATATGTTTTTGCTATTTTTTTTGTCATTACAGTTGAAATACATTTTACTACTCTTTTGAATTATACAAAAAAAATTAAGTTCAAATTAAAAATCAAAATTTTGCCTAAATTGTTATTTTACTCTGATTTCTTAAGTGGTCCTAATAATTTGGCCAAGGGACTGTATATATAATATATACTTAGTGGCTTAAAAAAACATAGTTTTGCACTATTAATCATGGTTAATAATTAGTAGTATAACATCTGTTTAATTGCTATCCAAATTTAATTTTTAGAAAACCAATTAAATAACATGAATTCAAGAAAATCTGTTAAAGAAAACTATGTCTAAAACTTTCCTCAAAAATATTTAGTCATAATAAATTTATTTATACATTTCTGGTTGTTTGATGTTATACAAAACAGAGCCAACTATTGTTTGGGGAAAAATCACACCAAGAAAGATCTACTCAATTGGGACAAAATTTGATGTTTACTGTAAATGTGCAAGAAAAGAAATTAAATTTCAGAACATAAAGAGCTATACAAGCTGAGGAAAATCAATAAGATGATCTGCCTCTTGCCTGAATACAAACTGTTACCAGTCATGGCATTGATTCATAACATTAATGGATGGTGTCCTGAGGGATTTCTTGCCAAACAGNTTTACAACCTTCACTATATAATTAACACAACAATGCTCAGTTTATTAGATTCCTTGACCATTAATTGCAGCTGTCCTCACACGTATCGCTGTGACTAAGTGATACAGTTATACAACAAAGAGAACAAACTAATCCGAATCACAATATGTTTTCACAAAATAGATAATTACAAGTATATACATTACTTAATAAAATATGAATTTTCTGATATTGAATATATTTTTAAGCAAAAAAAAATGCATCCATTAGAAGTTACTTTTTGCACTGTATAAACAATATCCACATCTAGTGATGTTCTGTTGTTAATACTGTCCAACAAACATTTCTGAAAACATTCACAAAGCCGATAATGTTTTATCTGCCTTGGACTTATTGAACTTTAATGCTCTTCACACAATGCTTTTCACTGTGATGTAATAAATGCTATGGGTAGTAGAGCATTGCATATATGTTTATCTTATCAGAAACTTATTTGATGTCATGAGAATTGTGGAATTTCTGGAAGACTCCATGCTGGAAACAAACTAAACAGAAATATTTGATAGTTGTTGAGTTTAATGGAAGTTGTTTAAAACATAATAAACAAATTTTATTCATTTTTGTAACATGTTCATGCCAAACAAGTTAAGAAATAAAAAGGTATTTCATAAAATTCAACATGCCTTTCACAAATTAATGCTTCTTTAAAATATCTTTATTGTTTTTTTCACCAATATATTTAGCAAGTTGAACTTCATTGAATTTAAACTTGTAAAATGGATTCTCACAAAAATGCACGTTTGATGTTATACAAAACAGAGCCAACTATTGTTTGGGGAAAAATCACACCAAGAAAGATCTACTCAATTGGGACAAAATTTGATGTTTACTGTAAATGTGCAAGAAAAGAAATTAAATTTCAGAACATAAAGAGCTATACAAGCTGAGGAAAATCAATAAGATGATCTGCCTCTTGCCTGAATACAAACTGTTACCAGTCATGGCATTGATTCATAACATTAATGGATGGTGTCCTGAGGGATTTCTTGCCAAACAGTGTTCAATTGGTGAGCTAAGTTTTTAACATTCCTTGATGGTTGCAGACCCAATCCCATCAGGCCCCAAATGTGCTCATTTCAGGAGAGATCTGACAATCTGGCTGGTCAAAAAAGGATGACTCAACCACAAAGACATTCAAATGAGAGGCATGCATGACCAGGAATTGTCTTGTTGGAAGTAAGCCTGGAGTGCTGCAAAAGGAATGGTAACACAACCAGTGTGGTGAGTTGGTAAACAAATAGTTCAACTTCAGCAAATTTGAAACATGTGATTCCGACCTGTCACACTAGGATTTCTTATAAAAGGAATCATATCATTAGGTATCTGAATATTTTTATCTAAATTTTAGATAAAAATATTCAGATATAATACAATAAATGAAAAAAACAACAATTTGATTAATTAATGACATAATGAATTGGTTTCCGAAATAATTTCTCTCACTCTGGTTAGTATGAGAATAGTTAATTTTCAACCAATGGTCAACTAAACTCAAGTATATTGTATAATTTTAAAATATAAATTTTGGAAAAAGTATACCAGTCATCTTGAACCAATATGTACAATCTTGCCCCAAGACATTAAACCAGTGAATAATAAGCCGGAACAATTCTATTAATTACATTTTTCAGTTTTTGCTTCCTTCTTTAGTTTATTGCAGTTAGATTCTGATCTGCACTAGTCATTCAGACTTGGTTCAAAATGAAACTCATCACTGAAGACAATTTGCACCCAATCAGAACAATTCCACATTGGTTGAGCTCAGAACCACTGCAATCCCTCTTGATAATGCCTAAGGGTCAATGGGTGTTGTGAGGTAGATTATTTTTTTGTTCATTTAGTCTGTTGTCTGTTAAATTGTTGATTCAGGTTTCTTAATATAAAATACAAGTCAGTATGGTCAATATGTAAATATAATTCAGAGAAAAACAAAAAATTTTCTAGTAAATTAATAATTTTTCTAAGTTTTGAATACTTTCTCCAAAGATTTTACATCGAAAAGTTTTTATTTAATATCAAAAGTAAGACATTTTAAAATTGTACCATTACTATGATGATCCACATTGCATTGGTTGTATTTTGAGTAATTTAAAAGTTTAACAAAATAATTTTACTTTTTATAGTTATATAATATCACATGCAAAGAGAAATCATCATAAGTTCAGCTCAATTGAGGAAAAAGTTCTCTTCTTTTAATCAATAAATAATTAAAAAGGATGGAAGGCCATTATTCAAGAAAATAATACATGAATTTGTATTTTTGAATCTTCAATGTACTTTTTTTTGCACTTCTTTCTGCAACTATTTTTAGTTATATATTTATTTTATTGTATGTAAAAATATTGTTAATTTTGTTTAATAATTGTTAATAAAAATATTTAGTTTTAATAAGATAATTTATTCAATTATTTTTCTTAATTTGAAATAAATGTCTTAGGAAAATTGTCGTCAAAATTATAAATTTTGCTGGTGAAGAAAATTTTAATAGCCAAATAACCATGAAACCAATGCAAGTATATTAACAGTTAATTACAGAGAAAAAAAATACTATATGGTACTGTATATATAAATATATTAATTGCTGAAAAATGTTATAATATAGGGACAGCCTTCTTATATATACAAATGGATGGTATAATTAAGATTAAACTTAATCCAAACTGTTTTACTCAGAGCAAACACTTCTCTTTAGAAAAAATTTATGCTTTTGTAAAGAAGTTTGTATTAAAATTAAAAATTTAAATAAATAAATTTACCTGGTAGATAATCCAGCAAGAGCTCCAACAGATATTATCCATTTGGCACTTGTCCAACCAACTTTTGCAAATACATTTGGCAATGGAGCTGAATCAGACTGATCATAATAAGGCCACATCAAAGTCTGAATTGCCGACACACTAAAGTATGCCAAAAAACAAACTACCAACGATCCAACTATTCCAATTGGAATAGATTTTTGTGGATTTTTCACTTCTTCTCCTAAAGTTGCTACACAATCAAATCCAACAAAACTGTAAAAACATACAGCAGCTCCTCGTAGCATTCCACTTATACCATATGGAAAAAATCCACCATCTCCTCTGTCTTTAGGAATCTACATTTAAACACACAGTTAACATTAATTAAAACTAAGACATGAAAGTAAAGAATTTGTTTCAAAAAATATTATTAATTCAATTAAGAATTTAATCAATCTTTTCTCATTTGAATTCACAAATTTTAATATGTATATTTTATAATTCTGATTTATCTAAAAAATAGACCCATATAAATTAACAATTATGCACATTAAAAAATATACACACTGATAATAAAAATGACAATCTATAATAAAACATTGTTACATTTAAAACTTATAGAATGTCTCAAAACATAAAGAGGTAGTAGTAATGTTTGAAAATATATACTGATTTTCTCATTACCCAAAAGTAGAGCATTCCTGTGAAATCGTTCATAAGCCAGAATAGCATAAAGTGAAAAAGCAGTTACCATTAATTTATATGGGAAATTTTTGAGCATTCCAGACCCAAAATTAACTAAATAAATCTTATCAAACACGTAAAACTTAAAATAATAACAACAAAAAGCAGGAATGGTATGATAAATACACAGCCAGTATTCTTTAGTTTTCTGCTAGTTATATCAAGTCTGGTAAGCACCACCACTTTTTCCATGCTAGTCTATCCTGCACTTTTATCTTTAGTTCCTTATAACTACCATCTTTTAAGTCCATTCTACCACTTTTAAGTCCAGTCTACCACTTTAATTCTCCTTTCCCCTCATTTCTTTTTACCTGCAACCATTCCATCCGTAATGTCATATTGTAAGCCATCCTTCTCAAATCATGTTCCCAATCCAATTAGTTTTTTGCATCTTTATTGTCTCTAATATGCTCCTTTTTCACCCACTCTTCTTAGGACATCCTCATTTCTCATCTTATCACTCCATCTGACTTTCTCTATTGTTCTCCACTGCCACAACTCTAGGACCTCTATTCTCCTAATGTTGCATTGTCTCAAAATCCAAGTTTCAGCACCATAGAGGAAAACACTCCAGATGTAGCATTTGACCAGCCTTTTTCTGAATTCTAATTTCGGAGGTCCATACAAATATGTTTTCATTTTGCTAAATGCCTCTTCCACCATTCCAATTCTCCACTTGATTTTTTTCCTGTGTAGTGTCTCTAGTTTACAAAAATATACATAGTCAGTGTAGAATGGGTAAAGAACAGAAGACTTTACAACCTTCACTTTATAATTAACACAACAATGCTCAGTTTATTAGATTCCTTGACCATTAATTGCAGCTGTCCTCACACGTATCGCTGTGACTAAGTGATATAGTTATACAACAAAGAGAACAAACTAATCCGAATCACAATATGTTTTCACAAAATAGATAATTACAAGTATATACAAGATGATAAACACACATGCTTTAACATGACGTCTCAACACTAACCATATGTGAGTGTCCTATCCAGCTTATAATAGTCCATAGTCCAGTAACCAAAGATGTGGCCACTAAATCCTGTTATGGCCATCGGCCATGATATTGTATATTTGTATATTTTACTTTGAATTAATCATAGCCTTCCTTCCTGTTTCTTTGTTCCTTCTAGAACCTTCTTATCTAACCCTTTTGTCCTTAGGTAGGATTGTCTTTTCCACGTAAATAAGAACAAAAGAGGGAGTGGAGCCCTGGGGCAAAATGGACAGAAAAAGAGTCACTCTGGGTGAAGATCCCGAAGAAAGCAGAAAGAAAAAGTGAGTGCTCATGACCTGAAGTTAAAGTTAAAAAGCAGCAAGAAAGAGGAAAAAAGAAAAGAGATGATTTAGAAAAAAAAAAAAACAGCCGTAAGGACAACAAATAATCCAAGGAAAAAGCAGAGTTTTTCGATATCGAGAAGTAGCTGTATAGACTTTACAGCAAAAGATATCAATATCAAGATATTTTTTGTGTAATTTTAACAGCACTGAAGAGGGGTTGGGAATATAAGCCAACCCGAAATGCATCTGAATTAGAAATTTTTAAATAAAACGTAACGTTTTCTAACCAATTGCTGTTCGTTCGTCTACCAATTATCTTTTTGGATTACAAAGACGCTACACACTGCAAAAGATAAAGTTGGCGCCATAATCCAAAAGCGTATATACATACCAAAAGAAATTCTGGGTATTTCCATTCTCCCTACATTTTGTTTCCGTATCCATCTGTCCTGTACTCTTATTTTTCATTAGTTATAAGATAGACATAAGTTAGACATAAGTTAGTTATATAATTAGTTTTTTTTATTATTTTGACGATTGTCATGTGTACGAATCCTGGAGATAGTGGAGGACAAGCCTATTCCTTTTTTCTTTGTGTATAGAAGCACAAAAGTAGCACGCTAATTGAATAATCTAATCAATATCAATTTTTCTAATTAGTCCCAAGACTTTTATTTACAACATTTATTAGACAATTATTTACTAAGTTTAAGGTAGCCAAGCCCATTGGGAAAGAAGCTGGGAATTTTTTCCTGAGCACAAAGAGAACTTAGAGGGACCCACAGTAGTTCCTATCCCTATAAAACTAATGTTACTTAAAAACAGTCTTAAAGATTTTATTTTCTATTTTTATTAACAGAAAAAAAAAATCTTTAAGACTGCTTTTTATTAATAAAGAAATATTATTAATAAAATGTTTTTGTTTTTGAAAAATAACAAATTATTTTTCAAAAACAAAAAAAAAAAAAAAAAAAAAAAAAATGGCAAGAGACCCAGTCTATCCTTTGGTCACATACAATCTCTTGATGACCCTGAAAATATATTTCCTTAATAAAAATAAAAAGCTAAATACAAGTATAATAAGAACATATGCAATATTCAAAAGTTTATTAAAGAAATTAAATCATATTATACAGAAAAACTTGAAAATGCAGGTTTACAAACCTATCTATTCTTTTAGAAATATTTGGGTTTAATGATAGACATAAATAGTCAATAGGCAACAATATATGATCACTGGCACCATAAATGATTTACTTTATAATATAAAGCTACCAGACATCTAAATAGTTTCATGGCCATTGCTTTTACTTAGTGATAATAATTAATTATCATCATCTAAAAATTCATGGTACTTAGTAAAATTTTTAATTGTGAAATATTAAATTACCAAAAGATGACAATTTCACAAAATATTGCCAAAATTTGAACAAACTATTTGGCCTTGACAACCAATTTTTTCTGTAGACAAATAATTTCTAATATGACTGTTTAGAGAAATTTGGTCACAAATTTAGCTGAATAGCAAAACTATTGCTATGTATGAATTGACACTCTAGCTCAGGCATGGCCAACATAAGGCCTGTGGGCCGGATCTGACCCGTCTAATGAATTTATGTGGCCCACGATCAATCTTTCAATATTAGCTACTCAAGTCCGAATAGCTCGATAAAAATTCTGACGCCTAAAAAAAATAAAGGTCAACAACTTACTGTGCATTTAGAGTTAACCCTCCATTACAAATCTCGTAAGTACAGTGTAAAATGTTGATAAAGCATGATAATGTGAAAAATGTATCTGTAATCACTATCTACAATTTAGTCTCTACGGGGTGATACCACAACGAGATCTCGCACCACGTCAAAATCTTCCTAGGGCAGTCTCTGGTTCAGCTCGTGAAAAGTTTTCTTTCCAATTCGGCCCAGGGCGAAAACTGTTGGCCACCCCTGCTCTAGCTGTTTATTGAATAAGTGCTGATAGTTTAAAAATTTGAGTCTGCAAGGTCCAAAATGTAAAAAAAAAGTTGACCATTGCACAACAGATTGTAAAGTATCAAAAAAAACTATAAATCTCAGTACTAGACTTTCAGACTACAAAACAAAAGTTATAATTTCAACAACAATAATTTGTATAAATCTCAAATATTAAAAATTTCAAATTCAATATTTATAACAATAAAGTGCTTAATTACAAAAATATAATTACTGAAAATCTCAATCTAATTAGGAAAAAGAACTTAGCAGAAGAAAAACCCTTGATCAGGACCAATTCAATCAATCATTTATCAATAGTGTATAGTTCCACAGTTATGCACTGACCAGGAGGAGTGAAGTCTAGCTTGGTGAAAGTCTAGAATCGTCATCACTGTTCATTTCCATATTGAATATGTTTACAAAAAAAATGTTTTCAAACTACTATCTGGTTACAAAATATAGTACATTATTTAATATTTTAATCATTTTTAAACCGTAAATTAGTGGGATACAATTTCATTCATTATGCAAATATTAGTATGTGATTATGCAAATAATGTACTAGCTGGAAGTGTTGAGATAGCAGTTGAGATTTAACATTATTTATTATCAAATATTTTTTTTAATTATGTAACTAAATAACTGTAAATAAAAATCTCTTGCTACCTGACAAATCTACTTTCAGAAATAAAACTATGTTACCCTGTGTAAATTGAATTTTTATCCACATTATTTGAAATTTGTTAGATTAATACAGTTTATAAATTGATAAGAAACATGTTAATCAATAGTAGTATATTGTACAGCAAGCAAATAGTCTTCCACTAAATGTTAATTGTTTTAATTACTATCTAGTATTTTATGGAGTGTTGCTAAATCTTTTGCTTTTTGCTTGTTTTGCTAAGTCTATTTATAGGTGAATACTTTTGTTTTCTTGTTATGATTTGTTATGGACAGTTCTCCCAATGATATGGTTATATTGTTTATTAATTTTTAATTTATAGTGCTGCCACAGATGTATTTTTGTAAATCCAATTGTAATATTTATAGTTGTTTAATCTAATCAATTTATAAGTTTTGTATTACTTGTAATATATTAATGTAATTGTTTTGTGTACAGATTTATATCTTTCCACATCACAGGTCATATAATCAAGTATGCTATTAAATTATTTAAACATTTAGCATTTAAAACATTGGTTAAGGCTAATAATTTCCTATTATCAACCATATGTTGAGACTAATTGAAAAAAAAAAAAAGCCTATTTATGATAACTATTATTAAGATAATGTTAACTACAACCAAAATTGATTACAACAAGCAAAATTTCATAATTGTTTTTAACGTATAGTACATGTCACTTCTGATAACATTAAAAAATTGACAATATCATGATTACAAAAGCAGATTCTAATTTAGCTTTATCTTACATATATATTTATAAATCTGCATAATTTTAAAAATAACATATGCATTACCTTAGATTTTGGAAGTTCCCAATTATGTATATCAGCTTTAAAAGAGCCACAAATGAGCACATATACTACAACTAATAAGTTAACAACAGTAAATACATTATTCAATTTTGATGACTCCTTTACTCCAAATGAAAGCAAAACTGTTAATAGCATAACAATTCCAAAAGCAAAAAAATCAGGATAAGATGACATGTTTGGAATATCTATTGGCATTACTTTTTCAAAAAAATTCTGTATTTTATTCCCAATCAAAGAGTCAACATAGCCACTGTAACCTCTGGCAACTGATGCAGTTCCAATGGCATATTCCAGGATGAGATTCCATCCAATAATAAATGCAATAAACTCTCCAACTGTAACATAGCTGTAAACATAAGCCGATCCTGCTTTTGGAACTCTCGCTCCAAATTCTGCATAACAAAGACCTGCAAAAACTGATGCAAGAGCAGCAATAAAATATGATAAAGTAACAGCTGGTCCAGCTTTAGTACTAGCAATTTGCCCAGCTAGAACATACATTCCAAGTCCCAGCGTACTACCAATTCCTAAGAAAGTTATATCAAATACATTAAGACATCTACTGAGTCGCGTTTCGTGCAAACCTCTTTCACTNCACAAATGAGCACATATACTACAACTAATAAGTTAACAACAGTAAATACATTATTCAATTTTGATGACTCCTTTACTCCAAATGAAAGCAAAACTAAAATAAAAAAAAAATAAAAAAAATAGATAAATACAAAAACTAAAATTAAAAACTTTATTTCAATAATATGTTTAAAAATTAAAATTAACAAAAATTAATTAATATAATAGCACTTAATGTAATAAATCATGCTTTATTGCCAAATAAAAGCATTAAAAGAATTTGTTTTATTACAAATCAAATAATAAAATATTTAAATAATTATATTGTAATTTCAATGATCGCTTCTCGGCCTTATGGCTAAGATCAAATGTGTAATTTCAATGATGGTTGAATGGCTGAAAAGTAAAGGAATCAGCCTGCTAGTCTCAGGTATGCTAGGTTCACTGAATTCTCAGAAATTTTTGTAATTTGTTACACACTGTTCTTCACTTCCAGATGTTTTATTATGTGTACCTGGACAAATCTATGATGACTATGAAGTGTCCACTGGACAGAAATACAGGGTGTTCTGTGAGAAAGTGGCAATATTTTTTCAGCATGTTCTAGAGACCTAAGGAATCCAAAAATTTCCTATAAACATAAGGTGACCAATCATCCTCCTTTAGGGAGGACAGTCCTCCTTTTGTAAGTTCCATCCTCCCTCAAAAAGTGTCTTCCTACATGTCCTTCTTTTCAATATTTGAAGACTAATCTGTAAATCTCCATATTTGATTGATGCTGAGCCGAGCCGTCACATGTGATGTGATGTGTTTGCATTTGACATGACGGATCATCAAGGCTCAGTACAGTGTGGCAAGACATGATTATGAGATGAATGCATTCTGCACGGGAAACCTTGAAAAAGCATGCCGCACACAAGTGGCTTTGTTTACTTCTTTCTGAAACACGACATGGCACATACGCATGCAGTAGAGTTTACTATAGTGTATTATTGTTGTAATGAATAAAATATTTCTTTTATTTACAATAATTTTTCTTTCAACTTATTTGTGTCCTCCTTTTCATTGTAAAAAAGTTGGACACCTTAATAAACATAGACCTTCAAGCACATTGTTTCAGTGCTAGGAGTTAAAATTCAGATTAATTGTGTTTATGATATTTTTGGGCCATATATCTTTCAAACACTCTACAAAATATTGCCACTTTCCCGTGGAACATTTTGTATACTAGCATTGTCTCTCATTTTAAAGGGTAACAGCATATTATAAAACTTTTGTGAGGAATGAAATTACCATTATTAAAAATAAATAATTTAGTAATTAATATAAAATTATATACCTTTTATGAAGTACAAAATAGTCAGCATATTACATTAAAAATTTATAATGAATGTCTGCTTTAAATTTCTTATTATTTTAAACCTTTAATTAATAATTTTACATAATTATAAAGATAAAATATATATGCAAAGAAAAAAAAAAAAAATCACCTGTTAATAGCATAACAATTCCAAAAGCAAAAAAATCAGGATAAGATGACATGTTTGGAATATCTATTGGCATTACTTTTTCAAAAAAATTCTGTATTTTATTCCCAATCAAAGAGTCAACATAGCCACTGTAACCTCTGGCAACTGATGCAGTTCCTATTAATATTAATAACAATAATAAATAAAACTACGGTATTTATTTATTACTTATCATTTAAAAGAAATAATAGAATAATGCTAAGATAATTCAATGCCGAAACATTCTATAATTAAAAAAATATATATACCAATGGCATATTCCAGGATGAGATTCCATCCAATAATAAATGCAATAAACTCTCCAACTGTAACATAGCTGTAAACATAAGCCGATCCTGCTTTTGGAACTCTCGCTCCAAATTCTGCATAACAAAGACCTGCAGAAGAATTAAATTATTTTAAAATATTTAAGATACTTGATTTTAATAGTAACTATAAACAAATGATTTAGGAATTTAACAATTTCAAATATTAAGTTAATAATTTATTTATATATATTTGGGAATTAACATTATTACCTGCAAAAACTGATGCAAGAGCAGCAATAAAATATGATAAAGTAACAGCTGGTCCAGCTTTAGTACTAGCAATTTGCCCAGCTAGAACATACATTCCAAGTCCCAGCGTACTACCAATTCCTGTAAAGCAATGTAAAAATTAATTTGTTGAATAAAACAATGTAATTTTTCACAAAAATGAGTTTGCAAATAAGTTTACTACAAAATATAAAAATAGCATTTTAAAACACTACCCCAGAGATTAGTGTTGCCATCAGGCTGGTTTTAAATTCCTGGTCCAGATTAATTATTAATTTGTCTGGTTTTCATAAAAATTGTGAAATTATGACAAAAAATAAATTTATAAAAATATTTGCAATTATTTTGCAAATATTAGGTTTGTTCCAACACAAGTCCCTAACTGGTTTAAAACTGGCATGTGCATTGTTCAGTTATTAGCTGAAAATGACATTGCACATGCCTCATATGGTTTTAAATTCAAACCAGTCAGGAATTTGTGTTTCAACACATCTATTGTAAAGCAAATGTGAGTTTCAGTTTACAAGTTTATAATTTCTATTTTAATTATTTAATATGACAACTCAAGAAATTGAAAACTCAAAAAAGAGGAAGTAAACTTGTAAATTTAATAAAGATAGGCTGACACAAAAGAAATTTCAAAAATAGTTACAACCTGTTCAAGAATCTTATGAAATAGTATTGCAAATACAACACTTAACTATGTTTAATGTAAAGTGGGATGGTGTAAAAGCTGAAATCTCACATGGAAGCAAATACTCATAAGCAAAGAGTATCTTTACTTGCTTGTAACTCAAATCTTATCCAATTATTTCAACAGGAGTCCTAAATTTGATGATCAGGTAACAACAGCAGAATTGACACAAGTTCATCATGGTGTAAAGTCATATCACAGTTATTTATCCATAGAATGTGGAAGTAAAGTTAGCAATTCCATATTTCCCGACATGATGGTTTGTAAAAATATAAGTCTTGGGCATATAAAAATTGAATCTATTGTGCAAAACATATTAGCTCCATATGCTCTTGAATTAATTATATCTGTTGTGAAGCATTTACCATTTAATGTTGCCACAGATGCTTCTAATAAACGTAATAAAAAATTGTTCATGCTTTGATAGATTTTAAACAAACATGGAGTGAAACCACTGAAGAAATTTTTAATGTTATAAAATCAGCAATTGAAAATACAGGATTACCAATTGAAAATATCACCTCATTTGGAGCTGATAATGCACCAGTCAATTTTGGGTGTAAATCTTCAGTTATGAAATTAAAAACAATTAACAATAATTTAATAAAAGCTAATTGTAACTGTCATATTCTTTATAATACTGCTAAATATGCATTAAAAACAATGAAATATGATGTAAAAACTTTAGTATTAAAACTCTATAGCGAATTTTCATTGAGTACCTGCAACATCAAAGAATTAAGAAATTGTTTCAATTTCCTGGAACAGTCATACTATGAAACTCTGAAGCATATTTCTACTAGATGGGTAAGCTTATATAAAGCTATTGATAGGTTACTGAAAAATTGGCCTATTACCCTTTATTTTATAAATCAGGGAGAAGAAGAATGTAATCCTACAATCTGGACATTTGTGCAACATCATGAGAATAGTATTAATGATGAAAAATCCTTACCAGAACTGATGTTATATTTTGTACATTCTTTTTACATATTTTATATTAATTTATATATATATTAAATTTATATAT